TTGTGGCCCTCCTTATGCTCCTAAATGCTGTCCTCATCAGATCCCCCATCACATTCTCCTTCACTCTCCTCATCAAAATACTGGCTAGCCCATTTACATAGCAGGAAACCAGTGGTAGTGTTTGACCTCAAACCTCTCCCAATTAAAGAAGATGGTCCATAACTTCCCCTCTTTGAGCTCTCATTAATGGCTTCCAACATGATGTTCATTGCCTCTATTTCATCCTTCACATCAAAAGTTCCCATGTTCTGCCCATGTTTCCCCTCCAAATAGGCCTGCAACCTTGTCATAGTATCATACATAACTATAGCAAAATCCTCATCAGAATCCCTACTATTTTTGACATCCTTGCACCAATCACCAATGTCTACTCTGTCAACTTTCCCCTTACCCTTTTCCTTGGACTTAGAACTAGTGGGGCCTGATTTTCCATGACAATCACCTATCCCATTAAAGGCTGCCTTGGCATCAAAACTAGTTTTGCAGATTATTGCATCTGAAAAACTCAAGGCCTTCCTTCCTCCTTCAGAGATCCCAGGGCTTTCTCTGGATGCTTTAACACCCTCAGATTCCAGAACCTGCCTTGCTGCTTGTGGACCAGGGTCATCAGAGCCTTTCCCAGGCTTTGAAACACTCATTGGGCTCCCTAAATCTTTCAACAAATTTCTGCAATTCTCACTAATGCTAGCCAGCTTTTTCAAGAAAATTCCATTTGCCCTATGCACAAGCTCCTCAGATTTCTCCTTATATCTTTCTTGTCCTAAATCATTATAGGCAAAATCAAAGTATTCTAGGACTTCCTGTCTAGCTTCTTCCACAACAGCTGCTTCATCTTGATCTAGACCTTCTCTCAACTTATCAATCCACACCTCAAGCTCTAGAATGGAATCATACAAAGTTGACTGTGCAGGGCTGGAACTGGGAGATCTCTGACTATCCCCATCCCCTTTTGCATCCTTTTCCTCATCCAAGCCAAGCTCATTCCCCATTCTCTTATTTTCAGCATTCGTAGCCTTTATTTCTTTCTTCTTCTCCCTTCTTATCTGATTTTTTGTTAGCCCTTTTTTCCTTTCCACAAAATGCTTCTGGGAGCTCAGACTATCCCCACTTGCAGCCTTGGTGAGTGTCTCTGCAACCAGTTTCTGAGCAGCACCATTTACAGCCTTTGTGCCCCCATTCTGAGCAGCATTTACAGCCATGGTGACCACCTTTTGAGCACCTTCCTCCTGATCCTGCAACTTTCCAGCCTTTTCCAAAGGCACACTGGGGCTATTCTTCTCAGATTTCCTGGCCTTAGCATTCCCACCTTGCTCCTCTTCCACAAGGTCTGCCCATGATATGTTCCCCTCCTTCAGAACATTCTCAGCTACTTCTTCCAGAATCCCATCTGCAGCCTCCATAATAACCTGCTGCACTAGCTGTTCTTGCTTTGAGTTATTCATCATTAAATTTTCAAAGCTCAATTGTTCATGAGATTTCCCACAACCATCTGTATCTTCTGCTCTTCCATTAAAACCAGTTTGTTTTTCTGTGGCTGCCTCAACAATGATTTCATCAGCAACCTTTTCCTCTTCCTTTTCCAAGGATTGATTTATGCCCTGAGCTTCCATTATGGCATTTCGACAAACAGTTGGTGGTTTATCCATTTCCTTGTGTTTAGCTTTCCATAGTTCTTTTGGCAGCCCTCCCGTTGGACCCTCAGGTCCTATCCACCTTCTACAATTGTCCCTCATGTATCCAAAACGACCACAAGAAGAACAATACCTCGGCACCCCCTCTGTTTCAACCTTCTACCAAAAGCCTACTGATCCATCCCCTTCTCCAATTCCAATCCAGATTTTATCTACCATTGGCTTAGATACATCGATCTCCAGTCTTACCTTCGCAACATTAGGCCGAGATCGGCGGATTGTTGCTGCGTCTAGTGTGACTACCTTCCCAATCGGAGCACAGATATACGATAACATTGCAAAATCGAAAAAATGTATGGGGAGAAAAGGCAATAGGATCCAAACCAGAGTGATTGGCGAATCTCTGTTGGGCTCGAGATGATGCTCCGGTCTCCAGCGTGAGAGCCACATATGGTTCCCATCCACTTTCAATTGATTTCTCATCCACGCCCTTCTACATTCATCTTTAGATGAGAATCGCAGTAGAATAGCTCTTCGATTCAACGATCCGATTTGCAGTTCCCCCTCTGGATTCAGAATCGTCTTTAGCGTTGACCGTAGCCCTTCTATTGGCGGCCGATCCTTCACAAATCTCCCAACGAGGGACAATTTCTCCTCCGCTCTCACTGCGATTGCCCAATCCCTTTGCGAAATTGATACTCTCAGCTCCTTATCTATCTTAGTCCCTGCACAAGGCCGATTCCCTCATTCAAACAGACCACTCGGCGGTCCCTTCTCGCAACTGCCAGAAAATTCGATCTCTGGGAATAGATCATCCTTAAGCCTCCGATCATTGATCAGGTCATCTCGATGGAATCGCGAGGCCGAGCTGATCTTCTTCGTCTTTTCCGATCGTGAAACCGCCGTCGGAAAATCGCCGGCGGCGGCGCTGCCACGGCTGCCGCCGCCGGGCCTCCGAGCTCCGCCAGTCTGGTCTTAGACAAACAGGCCTAAGAAATCAATGAATGCAAAATGTTATGTTTTATGAGTGGAAATTAATGAATATTAAATTAATATTCTATTAATTTTGGGGATTTTGGGTATTTTGGGATTTTAGAGAGAGAGGGGAAGTGTAGAGAGAAGGGAGAGCATTTTCCCTAGAGAGAGAAAGTAGAGAGAAAAAATTTGGGCAAATGGGTTTTTTTTTTTTTTTTTTTTTTTTTTTTTTTTTTTTAAACTGTATATTTATTCCATCAAAACCAAGAGTCTACAAGCATACGCCATAGCCCCAAAAGTGGACTATGGCTCAAATCAAGTCTTTGGCCTTTTCGGCCATATCAAAACAAAACAGCTAACTATATATATACAAGGGGTGACCCAAAAGTGACCACCCCCAATCAAAGTGTAGAGCTCCCAACCATCTAACTCTACAAAATCTACATCACAAGGCCACAAAATGGCTCACAAAGAGATCAATAGGTAAATTCAAGCCTTAAAAGCCCAAACCTCACCAACTCAACCACTATCCTAGTCTGTAATAGGCTCCCCGTCCCACACAAGTGATGGGAACGATGCCTAAGCTCATGGAGATCCAACTACCCTAGTCTATCCCTACTACCCTCAAGTCAAAGTCCCATCCCCACCGGCACGGCGTACCGTGTTTTAGTCCGGGGGGACTTTACGGGTCTCGGTTTGAGCAGTAGCGCTCACTTCCTTCCACCCTCATGCCCAAGACCAACCTCCCTCGGCATAGCGCACTATGTTTTGCCCGGGGAGGCTTTTGAGGTCCCGACAGGAGCAATGGCTCCCTCCCCCACCACCCTTAGGCCAAAGGCCATCTCCCACGGCACGGCGTACCGTGTTTTAGGCCCAGGGAGTCTTTGTGGCCCCGACCTAAGCAATGGTTATCAAACATCTCACCCCTCCCATTTTTCAACTCCCCAATTGCTTTTTTCCATCTTTTCTCTTTTCACTTCTTTTCTTTTCATTGTCCCTTATTTCACCCTCCTCCTAAATCCTTACTCTTTTCTCTCATTCAATTTTTTTTTTCTAAGCCTATGGATTCCCTCAAGCTAAAAGCACTCCCAACTCTAAGTGTATGCCATACTTGGAGCCTATCAAGACCCCCCATTCGTAGCACAAGCCAGAATGGGTTTCCAAGGCAAAAAACTACCTAAAAATCTCTTCTAAAGCCATTCTTTGCCTCAAAATACAAGATATGCACAAAATAGAGGTTGGGAGCTCTCATAGTAGCTAAAGGGCCTTCATCTTCAAGCTTACACCTTCCTGCAAAAAAGGAAATGGCTTCATCTCTACACAAGTGTAGATCCACCAAACAATATCTGCACAGCGCTCTACTGCCAGTACCTCAACAAGCTGAAGGGCCCTCAGAAACTGGCCAGCTAGCAGTCCTTCATTGGGCCAAAGGGAGAAAAGACCTCAGCTAATAGCTTCATAGATCAATTCTCCCATAAGGCTCAAGCTCCCTTAGCCATCCTCCACAACATAGAAGGCTTAAGGGAGCAAACTGCTACTGGACAGAATGTGCCTCGACAGTTAGCCTCATAGACACATTCCCCCAGATCTGACTCCCCCTCAGGACTGCTCAGATTGTGCAAGTCTATCATTGGGGTGGCTTTTCCATTCCAGATCAGCTACATAGCTTCATCTCTGCAGATAAGCTCCCCTAGGCAGAATAAGTCTCAGCAATGCTTCATGGACTTATTCCCCTAGAGTGTGCCTCTTTTGTTCAAAAATTGCCCCTTAGCCTTGTGCACCCCCCAGGACTGCCCAAACAAGCCAATCCATCATTGGGGTGGGTCATTAGTAAGACTGGACAGAACTGGCCTCATCTGTATAAGATCACAGACCAGTTTCTCCAGCACCTGCAAATTATATATTTAGCTGCAAAGGGCAGAGCTGGTCTCAGCATCCTTCATAAACCAGCTCCCCCTTCCACCTGATCTTCATAGAACACCCCTCAATTGCATACACAACAACATTAGGGTGTATCTTTCCACACTCTCAAACCCTTCCTTATACCTCCCTCAACATACTTAACCACCATACTCTCATTCTTTTTACAAAGGCCAGGAGATCAGACCCCAAAGGGCACAACCACCCTGGACTTAGAAGACCATTTCCAGTTCCTCCTTGCATTCATCTACCTCTCTTTTTTCAAAGACCAAGCTGGTCTTCCTCTTTTCACCATTTCAGGTCAGCACTAGCCTCACCTACTACCTTGCCAAGCAGGGATCATCAGCTATTCTCTCCTTATTTCTTTGGATGTGAAGGCAGCTCATGACCCCTCCAACAAAGCCCCTATCCCTTTATCCTCAAAAATGCCAGGATCCCACATCTGAGAACCCATACAGGACCATAGTGTAGCCATCATTTAATGTTGTCTATCCCAGGCAGAAAGACAAAGTGAGGGACCCCCTCTAAAGCAAGAAGATGATCCAGGCCTCTTGGGAGCCCCTCAACTTTGTTAAAGATTATATTCAGATCACAGCATCTGTTAGCCAGGCATGAAGCCACACAATTCACCCTCTCCAAGCATGTTTCTTTCCTAATCCATGAACCCTGGGCAGTGTCTAGACCATTCAGTTCAATCCCTCTCCAATTACTGGTCTCAAAGATGACCTTAGTGATCCTTTTGAACTTGCACCATTCCCAGCAGTATCCCAGCATACTTTGTATTAACTCCTCTAAGTTCTGCCCATTCTCTAAGGAGTAGACCCCTGCCAAGCAAAATCTTCCCCTAGAGTTTCTCACAAAGAATGCACATGACTTTTCCTCATTATCCAATGCCCAATTCACCTTAACTACTCCTGGCCATGGCCTACACCAATTTGACCTCTGAGTTATTCTTCCACAACCAAAGGAATCAACTTTTTTCATGATGAACTTCCAACATGGTGGGAGGGGATCCCAGTGTGGCCACTTCCTTTGAATGCACTCAGCCATGTCCTTCCCTACCTTGTATATAATTCTTGCCACAGAAGTCCTCCCATTCCCATATTTACAGTGAGAGTAGTTCACCCACAATTCCCATAATATGAGCACAGGAAGTCTTTGCACCATAAATTTCAGCATCCTATTGTCCACCTTATAAAGCCACCATTCATAACACACATGTCTCTCTGATCTAACATTGATAAGCAGCCCCAAAGATTTTGCAAAATAATCCCATACCTGCTTAGCTGTCTCTCCCATTCCAAACACATGATTTAAACTGTCACACCCATGCTGAACACAACAAGGGCACATAGAAACAGTGTGAAATCCCATTCTCCTTAGAGTGTCATCCATTGGGAGTTTCTTTTTAAAAACCCTCCATGCCAAAAAAGACATTTTCCATGGGATTCCTTTTGCCCAAATCTTCTTGCACCACAAACTTTCTTGCCCTTGATTGGCCTGCCCTTGCACCAGCTTCTTTGCTGCCTTAAATGTAAAATCTTCCCCAATAGCTCCCCAGCATATTTTGTCCTGGACTCCCTCTGAACTGCAAACCAGTGTGCCATCCCATCCTTGAGCTTGGTCAATCCCTAGCCTTTGCAGATCCACTCTATTCCCCACAAGGAAGTCTTTCAATATGTCTTTTGCTCTCCTTTTTCCCCTGATATTTAGAACACCAGCCATTGCACCCCTTCCTGACCAGTTGTCCCACCATAAATTCACCATCCCTTCACCAATCTTCCATATCAACTGAGGCTCAGCTTTTTCTCTAGCTTGGATCATCCTTCTCCACACATGTGAGTCCTTATACTGCCAGCCCCTTACCACAGGATGAATTTCCTTGCAGTACTTATTCATTAAAAACTCACTCCAAATTGTCCCACCTTTCCTAAAATTCCACCACAACTTCATTCCTGCAGCATCAACCAAGTCCTGCATTCCTAAAAATCCAACTCCACCATCTCCAGTTGGCTTTGCCAAAGTTTTCCAGGACCCCCAATGATATTTCTTCTTCCCATCTATCTCCCCCCAAAAGAAATCAGCAAAGAGTCTTTCTATCTGTTTAACAACAGCCTTGGGTGGGCTAAGTGCATAAAATATGTGAGTGGGAAGTGCTTGCAGCACAGTCTTAATCAACACAGCTTTCCCTCCCTGTGACAAGATTCTAGCCTGCCAACCCCTACACTTTTCTGTCATTCTCTCAATCAGTTCATTAAACAACCTGACTCTTTTCCTTCCTTGGTAGATAGGGCATCCCAAGTATGTAAAAGGGAAGGATCTATGTTAACACCCAGTGGCAATTCTCAACCTTTCTATTACTTCCAAAGTGGCTCTCTTATCAACATAGAATGCACTTTTCCTTTTGTTAATCAGTTGACCAGACTGTCCTTCATACTTCCCCAAAGTTTCCATCACTTCTTGAATACCCCCTCCCTTTCCAGAGGTAAAAATAACCATATCATCCGCAAAGGCTAGGTGATTGACCTTGGGTCCACCAGCTGGCTGTGTGAACATGCACCTTTTCTGACTAAGCAACCTGGACAAAAGCTCAGCAGCATGTATAAACAAACTTGGAGACAAAGGGTCTCCTTGCCTCAATCCCCTAGAGGAATGAAAGGAACCCTTTGCCTCACCATTAATAATAACTGAATACCAAATGTTATTGATGGAACTAGACACAAAGTCTCTCCACTTTTGGCAAAAGCCCAATCTTTTCAAGACAGTTTCCAAGCAACCCCAGTCCAGCCTATCATATGCCTTTGTCATATCAAGTTTCAAAATTAAATCGTCATTAGCCTCATTCATGCCATGGCAAACCTCTTGTGCCAACAAGATATTATCAGTTATGCTTCTATTTTTCACAAAACCAGCTTGGACTGGGGCAATGATCCTAGTTAGGATACCTGCCAGCCTTTGGACCATTATTTTAGTTATTATTTTGCTACAAAAGTTACTCAAACTGATAGGCCTATAGTCACTAAAGGTGGCAGGATTTGGGGTCTTAGGAATCAATGCAATGGATGTGCTGGTGATGGCCTTTGTTAGGCTTTTCCCAGCAAAAAAACTTCTTACCATTCTATGAAGATCCTCCTTGATGATTTCCCAGCAAATTTGGTAAAAGCCTCCCCCAAATCCATCCGGTCCAGGTGCACTATTAGCACTCATGCTAAACACACTGGACTTGATTTCATCAAGGGAAGGCTCTATGATCAAAGCCTTGTTTTCCTCCTCAGTGAACACTTCCTGCAAACATTAAAAAACAATGGGATCAAAGTCAATGTTCTCAGCAGAGAACAGCTGTTGATAGAAGTCAACTGCCATCTCTGCTATTTGATTTTGGTCCTCCACCCATACTCCCTCCTCATTCTTGATTTTGTGCATCACTTGTTTAACTCTCCTCTCTCTCACCAAACCCTGAAAGTATTTTGAGTTTCTCTCCCCCTCCACTACCCATTGAGAATGTGCCCTTTGTTGCCAAAATCTCTCTTCTATTCTCACTTGTTTTTATAGCAAAGCCTGGACTTTTTTGTATTCCAGAAGTCTCTCATCAGTTGTATTCTCCTGAAGTTTCTCCTCCAACTCCCTCATTCTACCCTCTAACTCTTTTACCTTCTCAAAGATATTCCCAAAGACCTCCCAATTCCACTTTTTCAACACCCCCTAACCCTCTTTAACTTAGTCACAAAAGTATACATTTCATTCCCATCAACCCTTTCCTGCCAGGGCTCTTTAACCACCCCCAGAAACATTTCATGTTCCCCCCAAGAATTGAGAAAAGTAAAAGGCCTTTTCCCCACTCTTATTTGGGGTTCCACACTCATTATTAAGGGGGCATGATCTGATGTCAGTTTTGCATAATGATGCACATGTGTCTTCAAATATTCCTCCCATTTTTCATTCACAAAACCTCTATCCAACCTTTTCCAAACAGCTTGTCCCCCTCTCCTTCCATTCCACCAAGTAAAAGGATTTCCATAGAATCTCACTTCCCTCAAGTTTGTGACATCAATACAATTTTGAAACTCCCTGCTTTTCCACATGCTATAAGGCTGGCCTCCCCTTTTCTCCTCACTCTTTAAAATGCAGTTAAAATCACCAATTAATGACCATTTCTGATCTCTCATTGGTCCTTCTGCCAGAAATTCCATCTGCTCCCACAATTCCTGCCTCATAACTCTGTCACATATTGCATACACAAATGAGATATTAATCTTTCCTACTTCTAGGAATACAGCCTCAAAATTAATCAGCTGACTCCCAATCTCCACAGAGGTCAAAGTCACCTCCCTTCCCCAGAAAACCCAGATTTTATCACTACCACAATATCTATTCTCAAAGCCAAGTGTTACTGCCCAGTGACCTAACTCAGAAAGCTCCTTGAAAGGTTCAATCAGGCACACAACTCCAGGCTTAAAGGTTCTCACCAAGTTTCTTATTCTATGAAGGGAGCCTTGGGAGCCCACCCCCCTCACATTCCAACAAAGAACCTTCATTTTTTCTTTTTAGGAGAGGCCCTCTTGCCCCTCTTGTTAGACTTCTGCTGTTGTTCCTGAGCCTGAGCCTGCTGCTGATTCAAGTGAGACCTTGTCCTAGTACCCACTGGTGAGACATGCAGCCTATCATACTCCTTTCCTGCCTCTATTTCCACCTCTTTTAGCTTCTGAACTTTCTCCTGCTCCTCACCAGTTGACTCCATAGATTCTGATATGGCCCTCCCCTCTGATGTATCCTTTTCATGACTATCACTTTCCTCTTCTTCAGAGTCCATTAATGGTCCAGGATCTATTTCATTTGCATTCACATGATTACCTTCCTCATCTATTTGCCCTAGGGCATAAAAGGAGCCCCCTTCTACCACCTGCACTTTCTCTTTCCCATCCCCTTTTACTTCAGAGCTTGCAGCTTGGGTTTTACTATCTTCCTCCCTCTCACCTCCTAAAGGCATACTCTCATTCTGTGTTTTATTCCCATTATCTCCTCCACTCAGAGCCCACTGTCCCCTTCCACCTCTAACAGAATAGGATTGACCTCTGCCACCCCCTCCCCTAACTAAACCTCCCCTTCCTCTTCCCATTCCATCTCCCACTCTTGCATAGCCTGCCTCCTGTTGACCCTTGACTCCTGATGTACTAGCAATATTGCTTGCCTCTTGTTTTTTCCCCAAATTCTGGTTTCCCATTTTCTTTTGTCCTTTCTCTATTTCATTCTCTTCTATTGTTTTTCCAGCTTTTTTCTCTTCTTTCCCAGGCTGTGCCTGTTTTGTCCCCTCACTCTCTCTATTTCTGCTAACACTCCTTCTTCTCCCTTCAGGGTTTCTACTCTCATTTCTTCCCCTCCCCACATATTGATTCTCATTATTTCTGTGGCTTCCAGGATTCCCAGCAGAATTTCCAAGTCTACACACTTCAGATGGATGCCCTTGCTTGTAAAAATTGGTGCAGTAATATGGAATTCTCTCATATTCCACCCTCTGAAAATATCCCAAGTCCTCTTCCCCATCATCCTCAGAAAATCCAATGAATATTTCATCAATTCTTGGTGCCAAAAATATCAATTTCCACCCTTACTCTTGCATAACTGGGCCTAGTAAAATTCAATGTAGCTTGATCAGGTGCCAAAAATTTCCCCAAAGGATTACAAATCTGCCTTAAAGCATTAGTCTTAAATAAGCTCATACACAGCTTAGGTAATCTAATCCATACTGGTGCCAAGCTTGTTTCCTTCTCAGTATTAAATCCTGCTGACCACCTAAACACTCTCATAGGGTATTTGTCCTCAACCATGATCTGGTCTTTCATCATAAAATTCAAGCAATCCACTTCCTGAGTAAAAGCAAGGGTGATATGTCTTTGATCCAACCACCCTATAACCAGAGTTCCTTTCAAAATGTATTTGGCAGTAAAAAATCTCCTAATTTCATCAAGTGATGGTCTTCCCCATGAGAATTTCCCCACCAACAAGTAGTCTTCTATCAGATTCAATTGTCTAAACTCCTCCTTCCCAAATCTGATTGCGGGCTTTCCGCTATGACTCCTAGTGATTTTTCCAGCAATTATAGGTTGAGGCAAGCCTCCAAATACATTCCCATTAGCTCCCCCTACATCCCCAGAAAATAGACCTGCATAGTTTTTTACTGGAGGCCTGTTCCAGGCCACATTCCCAGGTGGGATTCTGCTATTAACTCCCACTGGAGCTTTCTGATTTCCTTTTGCAACATTTTCTCGAACACTTGGAGGGTTCACTTTGCCTTGAGCATTTTTCACAGAGTTATGTATCTCAGGTTCCTTAACCTTATTTTCTGTGGCCAGCGGAGGGTTCTCAGCCTGAATTGGCTTCTTGCTAGCCTCCGGTGAAGGAGCAAATGAGACCCCCTTAGCCCCAATCTCAGTTTTTTCTCCTAAGTCCTTCAATTTTGCATTTTCGTTTACAATCACAGTTGTTGGAATAGAATCTGTACCTGATAGGTTTACAGCAGCTGTGGTTCTCTGATGATGAGCCCTCAGCTTCTCCATGTCTTCTCCATATTCCCGGTTAAACTGCTCCTCCGTGCGATTGGAGGATTCTCCTCTATATCGAACAAATCTGCCGGAGCCTTGTCAACGACTCCCGTCTGTTTAGACTCGCCCTCGAGTATCTCTTTGAGTATTTCCAAGCCTCCATTGCGTAGCTCTCCAATCGTTATCTCCTCCAAGCTCCGCGCTTGAAGAATCACCCTCAGATCACCCTTCGAGTCCGGAGGGGATTTTTCAATTTCCGATGGCTCAGTGGCCATCGGACCGTCCATAGTGGACATTGACAGTGGCGGAGGTCCCTTAGGACCCTCGCCTGGTCTCACGCTTCACGTCGCCGGTCAGCAATAGGCTATCGGACGGCTAGAATCTGATCGGTGGCGATTTCAGTAGAATACGGGTCGGGTCGGGTATAGAGAGAAGGGAGAGTGTTTTAGGCTAGAGAGAGAAGTGACCGGTGGGTTTGGGTTTGGGTTTTGGGTTTTTTTTTTTTTGTTTTTTTTAGGGTTTAGGGTTTTTTTTTTTAAATAAAACTGCGCATTTATTCTATTTCAAAACCAAAAGTCTACAAGCGTACGCCATAGCCCCAAAAGTGGACTATGGCTCAAATCAAGTCCTTGGCCATTTCGGCCATAACAAGCAAACCAACCAACTATATATGTACAAGAGGTGGCCCAAAAGTGACCA